TAATGATACAACAGGAAATGACTTGACTCTTATTTCTGTTGTTAAAAGAAAGTGGCCCCATAAACCACAACGCTGTTTGCTTGAAGCTCTTGCAGCAGGTGGAGGTGGAAGAAAGGAGGGGAGACGAGGAGGGGGTCCTTGTCTACAAATGTGCCCATTATGGATGGCTCTCCTGGGCTGTCGTGGCACCAATGCACCCGGTCTGCAGCCTGGAGGGGCCCGGCGCGCTCTCCACACAGCCGAGTAATCATTTTTATCCCCGCCATTTCCCAAATAGAAATGGACACGTATGATAAAAGTGTCAGGGCCAGTGTGGGCGACAGGACCTTCTAACTGCATTACATGTCACATCCTCACGTCCCTCTCTGTTTTGCTTTGCCTGCGAACGGCCGTGTTATTGCTCGCAGGAACTTGGCGGTAATATACACTGCGAGACAAGCAGCTCTTTATGGCCTCAGATTATTTGGTTTGAATGAAAGTGCTGATTTATGTCTGTTTAAGTGAAAAGATCTGTAAATTCCCTCAGCTGCGTTTCCTGTTCTGGTCCTTCAGGAGCGACTGAGCGGAATGGTAGTGACAACTGAGGCTGGTGTGGAAATGTGTCAAATGTGGTATATTTAATATACCTGACAGAATCGTGAAAATAAACCAACCTCAAAAACTAAGCCTTTACCTCCTCTAACGTAACACAAATCAAACGCAAACCCAAACATACCCATACTTTCATAAACTATAGTGAGACCGCAAATCATCGCATCATCTGGAAAGAATCATGCTTCCTTAAAAAAAAAAAGAAGCCATATTTGTGTACAAACGTCTGATAAACATCTAAAACCGCAGACATCTGCTGTCATTCTAACATTCGACAAGGAACATTTTGGCTAATCCAGATGAAAACATACACATCAAATCAGGCTTGTATTATGGTAACTGAAAATAACATTTTAAAAATCTTAAACTTATTTTATTTCAGTTAGTTGCCAAAGCAGCATTTCTCGTTTTCTTGATGTACTAAAATAACAAAATAAAATAAAATAAAAACCATGGACAGAAAACACACTGCAAAATTACTAAAACTTTAAACAAAATCAAAATGAGATCATAAAATATGAAAATATAAAAGACAAACTAATTTAAATTTGATCAAAAAACTTGATGTACTAAAATGTTTAAACTAAAACTTAAAAATTAATAAATACTGTCTAGATGTATTTGTTTTTTAAACTAATAAAAATGACAAACGTACAAAATTACTAAAACTTGATCTAAAATTGAAATAAAATCTCAAAAAATTTAAATATAAAAATAAGAAATAATTCAAAACATTAATATAGGATCAAGTTGATGTACTAAAAAACACTAAAATAAAAACATGAATAAAATCAATAAATAAAGACTATATATATATATATTTAAGTCTAATAAAAATGACAAAAACACAATAAAATTCCTAAAACTAACAGAGAAACAAAAAGAAAGAGGAATGATGTCTCTGCGATGTAGATGTGATATAGTGATTCTGATTGGTTCTGTGTGTGTATGTGTAGTTGTGTGTCTGCTCTTGGAGTCAGTAGAGCAGGGTCATATTGTCCCTGGTGTGGCCTTGGCTCTACACGCTGACACTGCATTGTCCAGCACAGCCAGCTGAGCGTCTCACACAAATGACCTCATTCATCCTCTGCCTCTCACACCATTACACCCCATGGCCTAATATCAACAGCACATACATGCACTAACACCTGATCAATACCGCACGGGCCAGGCAGCTCCTCCATCGGCAGTCTGGGCTGAAGGTGCAGCTCTTTAGATTTCTTGTGTTAGCTGAGTAAATAGTCTCTTCAAATTGACAGCATCTTGTCTTTGTTTATTTACAAAAGTGGGTTAGCTAGAGTGTCCGTGTTCGGTAGGGGTTTGTTTGTGCTGTTGGTTTGCTCGCCGTTGATGGATTGTAGCTTTTTTGTGTTTTGTGTGTGTGGTTGTGCTTTATGGGAGCGAGTCTTGAAGTCTGTTTACAAAACCATAAAACGAATGTGTAAATATTTGTTTATGCAGTAATGCGCTCAAGAATTGGAAGCGACTGTAGCGTTGCAAATGTATGGACCTTTAGTCAATTATGTTAGTGTGTGTATATATGTATTCAAACTTTTTTTGAATTTGAACCACATATAGTAAATAAACTGAGTAGTTTTTACCCCCTCACTATACTGTTCTTTTATTTGTAAACTACCCAAATGTAAAATAAATATCTGAATATCTTTAAACGGAGTGTGTGTGAGAGAGAGAGAGAGAGAGAGAGAGAGAGAGAGAGAGGCTTAGCTGGTTGCCAGGCTTCCACAGTGCAATAATAAACTCCGTAATCTCCTCATTTAGGATTCAGCATCTCACAGTATCTTAATGAAGCCTGTAATGAAGCTCTCTGAAACTCTCAGAACCCCCAAATCACCCACTAGTTAAACCGTCCAAAATACCCAGACCAACCACAGCATACACATTCTCGTCTTAGTCCTACATTTATGGTGATTTTTCACCCCCTGACTAATAGTATGTTAATTTCTATTCAGGTTTAATGGTTAATTTTGTTGTATTACTTTTTTTTTTTTTTTAAGTCTGGCTTTTTAAACTGCAGAATGCATGTCATGCCAGTACAGGTGTACATTCTTATGTGTTTAATGAAAGCTAATTAGGATCCACTCAAATATCTTTTACTCTGTGTATCGATGGACATTTTGCATTCCCATAGTTCCTTATTAAAAAGGTCAAATAAAATGTCAGAGAACTGTGATCCGGACGGCTCTAGATACAAAGAACGCTGTTCCTTCTGGTTAACATCACTATTACTATGAAAGTAGAATTTGGGATGTGTCCCAATAACAAAGAGTGAAGGCCGCAGCCTTCTTCATATTCTTCTTCTTAAAGGCACCATTACAAATACATGTTAAGATTAAATCGTTTGATTAAAATCTTTCACAAAAAGAACTTTTTCTGCTTCATTATTCTCCCATATGAATGGAATTCATTATGCAAACACAGAGAGAGAGGCAAGCATGATGAGGAAGTTTGTAATCAATCTTAATGGCTTTTTACTGCTCTGAGGTTCATTATGAATATCAGGCAAACACAATGAGCTATCTTTCACCCTCATATCGATTGCTATGCAAATTTACATACATTTCAAGCAGCCTTGCCTCTGCGGAGAGCAGAACCGGGGTTGTATAATAAAACAGTTTGTTAACAACAAAATATAACGGCACTTATGAGAACACTTTCTGCTCATTATTACGCCGTACTCGTGATTTCGGACCAGCAGGCGAGCGCGCTGAGACACGTGTACATGCATGCCTTTCTGTTTAGCATCGCCTCAGCGTGGAGAGGTGCCATCACGCTGTTGAGTGTGTGTCAGTCGGTGAGTGTCCCTGTCATGTATGGCTGTGAGTACACACACCGTGTGTGCAGTGTGCTGTGAAAATTCGAGAAGGCAGCACTGCAAAACAGAGGAAAAACAAATTCGTACCTACGGGCCTTTTCAGCACTCTCTCAATACCCCCAGCACCCCGATCCGTCTCACTTTAACTCAAGCATAGCGATGGGTCGGAATGGACGACGTATTTTTTCTCTAATACAGTCTGGAGTTATTTTCGCCTGTTGTGACAGATAGTGGTATTTGCTGCCAGACAGAGGCTTGATTGCAGAGCTCACAACCCGTGTGATAGTACGTTAGTGATTAACGCCTATATGAAATTCAATCATTCGTCAATAATTAATTCACTCTTTCATCATTCACAGCTCATGAGGGCAGCAGACAGGCACAAGCGAGGCAGTATATGTCTTTACATTATCTTTGCTTTTTCAAGAGCACCAAGAACGTGTTGCTGGACGGTTGTTGCGTCATGTGACAGTGTAGTTTCCATTGCATTCCTTTACAAAAATAGCTTTTCCAAGGGTTATAGGGCCCTATCTTGCACCCGTCGCTAATGACTTTGTACACTGACGCATGTATCATTCCTATTTTGCACCCGAGCAAAGTGGGCTTTTCCCTCAACAGACACACGTCGGTAAACTAGGAAATTAACTTGCGCTCTGTGGGCGGGACGGCGCAAAAAGGAGGCGTATTTCGGCGCAATCATTCCCTAGTGCTATTTCGCATACACTTTGATCCTCTCATCAACACAGATGCAGCAGTTTTTATTTTTGCAAATCATACATAACAAGGAAAAATATTAACACATGAGGGAAATCATTGTGGTGTCCATGAAGATGTAAAAAAAATGTAGGCCTAAATCTAGCTTACACATTTACCCAAATTTTTCAGGCTAATTGTAGTAATGACGGATCAGACCTGTTTGCCCAATAGTGGCAAGACACATATGTATATAAGGACAACTGACAAATTAGTTTGTCCGTCAAGAACCATGAAAAAAAAAATCTCCCATCCCCATACAACATCACTTCTCTGTCTTTCACTGCCCTGACAAGAACGTCGGTCTCCTCGGCTGTGAACCGCTCCTGGCGCGCACCTGGTAAATCCGCCATAATAATAACAATCCGCCATGCAACATGCGCACCTGCTCTTAAAGGGTATGTTGGATGACGCTCTGATTGGTTTATTTCACGTTACGCCCAAACCACACCTATGAATAATGAAGCTATTTCAGACCAACCCCTTTTAAACTTGCATCGGGCACAAGAGTCATTTATCCCGCCGGTAAAATAGCAACAGCGCCCAAGGACCGCCCACAAAGGGCCCATAGTGATCATGTGCTTAAGGGGATAGTTCAGCCAAAAATGCAAAAACTCATCATTTGTTGTTCCAAACCTCTGGCTTTTATACTTGTTCAAAACATAAGCTGTCAATAGGGTCCAATGGTGTTTTGGGCCCAACTGACTTCAAATCGATGAAGAAAAACAGAAGAAAGAAAGTCATACCTCTTTATGATAAATTGATTTAAGAATATTGAAAAAAAGCCATTGTGGGCTCACTTCTACCTCGTCATGTCACTGACCAATCTCTTGTTTTTGTTTATCAGGTCTAAGTATCCGCGGGGCTCAGGAAGAGGACCCACCCGATCCACAGCTGATGCGTCTTGACAACATGCTTCTGGCGGAGGGTGTGTCAGGACCGGAGAAGGGCGGAGGATCGGCGGCGGCGGCAGCGGCGGCAGCAGCGGCCGGCAGTCCCACTGACAACTCCATCGAGCACTCTGACTACAGGGCCAAACTCTCCCAGATCAGACAGATCTACCACACCGAGCTGGAGAAATATGAACAGGTGAATGTCAGTACACACTATAGTCCAATAAGGCATTATCAGCTTGCAATGTATATTTTCTGTCTGAAGGTCCTGTATGACTTCTCTATAAGTTTCTCCCCCAAAAAAAGAGAGAAATATTTACTCATGTACATATAACTCAAGCCTAAAACCTTTTCCAGGCTTGTAAGCATCGAAAACAGCTACCTAGTTGTTACGAAGCCCTATCTGATTGTATGGTACAGAGCCAAGAATAATACAAAATAACTTTTTATCTGTATTCACACATTTGCATTGATCCTATGAGTGTGAATAATCCCAGCTTGCTGTTCTGTCTGAATAGATGTTTTCCACTGAAGCTTAATGACAGGTTTAAAGGGAGACCTGGAGGCCTTCATCTGAACTGAAGGTGTCAGAGGTCTAAACCTGAGCAAGCATTTAGCATTTTACAGTCCTGTCTATCATGATTACAACTGAGAGCAGATGTGATTTATGGTGGTATTCAGGCATTAGGACATCTTCAACTTACCTGACCCCTGAACAGCGGTAGTCTAGACATCCTCTTATAAATATTGAGCAGACGCTTTTAGTTACAGTGTGGAGAGCAGCCTCTGATTGCATAGTGCATTTGAGAGTGTCGCTATGCAGGACTGGCTGCTTCATTGAGGTCATGTATTGATTCTTTAATGGAGCTGACATTAATTTTTGATTCAGCGCTTTAGTTATTTTCCTCATAATCAAGGCCAAGTTGAACGATGGCCTTTCAATCTTTTTTTTCTTCTTTGAGATACAATATAGTTAACATGCTGGATGTTTTGAAGAGACGTCTAGAAAAATTTAAAGTCCCACTCCGATCATATTTTGAGCTATTTTTAAACATTCCCAGTGGTCTTTAAATTATGATTATGCCATTTTTAGCCAAAATCACAAAACCTGTGCCGTTTTCTGGGACTTCGCTTCAGCAGAGCGGCAGTAGCTCATTAGCAATTCGCCTCTGCGTTGTAGGCGGAGCCGTTGGCACGGAGACGACCCTCCCCCTGCCCGTTGCTGAGAGCTCTGTCTCTCCCGCTAGCTTACACCCCCAATACCGGTGGGGCAACAGTATTATATACACGTTAATTATTATTATCCGAAGTTAATCAAAGTTATCACCGATCACCGATCATTGTTTAACTCCAAGGCGTCGCGTGTGGAGACGCCCAGTGGAGTTACTACGTCACAACTCCAGTCTATTTTAGCCGGCATTTTAGCGTCTGCTACTGATTCACAGCCATTTGAATGTAGAAATACTCAGAAATACAACTTTGAGCTTATTTTTCTCAAGATATGTCCTCTAACATCAGAAAAATGCCACGAGAACATGTTAACACCTAGAAAAACATTATTTTCATCGGAGTGGGTCTTTAAGTAATAGCTGTATAAATATTCTATTGTCCCTGGGTCAATGACATGATGCTTATTTTGCCCAGATCTATCCTTTTTTTTTTTAATGACTCACATAGGGTTGTCAAAAGTACCGGTAATTCGGTACCAAGTGAAAATGTGACGATACCAGCATTTCTGTAGTACCGGTAGTCAAGTCACCTTCATTTATATAGCGCTTTTTACAATACAGATTGTTTCAAAGCAGCTTTACAGTGAAGCAGCTACAGGTTGTACAGAGTACTGGATATATTCGGTACCCGCTGACAGGCGGCTGCTTTCAGTCGTTTCTGTGTTTATCTAAGCGCAGGACTCCAGACTAACTGACCAAAAAAATACTATTTAAATATGAATCCTGGATGTTCTGCGCATCTCTGTGTGAATGGAGCAGACCCGTGGTTTCAATTACCACACACACAGACACACACCGAAGCACGCGTGACGTCCGCTGTGTCATCAGCCTCTTCCACCTCACTATATGAGGACATGAATGCATGAACTAACTTCATCTCCAGAGCCGCTCTGGGTCTGATTCACTTCATGATCATTTTACCGTTCCATTTGAGAAAAAACTATCATCATATCATACACCCACAGAAACTCAAAGGTCTTCACTGCAACCTGTCAAAATAAAAGTTTGGTTTAACTTGAAGAAATTGACAGACATATAACCCTAACAGCATGTGTCCTTCAAATGTTTATATGTATTATTTACTTATAATGATTACCATCATAAATAATAAACTCATTGAATTTTTTTATTTTATTTTTTATTTTATTCAAATAGTTTCAAATAGTTAAATAGTTCCAACAGATTTTGCTGTGGTACCGAAATTGGTACGGAGAACCGCCAAATTTTAATGGGATTGGTACCGACTTCTGGGATTTTGGTATTGTGACAACCCTATTGTACAGCCATGTATTTATGTAAGAATATTCATGTATCTTATTGCTTTTTACTTGATAGTTACAGCCCATGACATTTTCATTCATTAAATTCAAACTTTTGTTTCAAACCATATACAGTAAAACCAACATGAATACAATGAGTATATTTCTAAGAACTTGTGTTTTAGATTTTACTAGGTTTTTCCTTTTCTTTATCGTGGTCACTCTTTTTTGTCATTGACCCTGCTACTGTTGTACTTTTCACAGAAAACAATTAAGAATGGTTGAGAGAACACTTTTATTTGTAAATAACAATCCTCTTAAAATGCTATGGAAGTTGTTTAGCTGATGGCTTAGCCGGCCAATAGGCTCAATTAGTCTGATTAACTTGCAAGCGTTTAAAAAGGGAGCATGTGAATAAGGTTGCTCAACCCTTTCACCCAGAGTAAATGCATCTTTCTTAAGGGTGTTCCCCATTTTAATAATCTAAATGTAAATACTTAACAAATTTTACTCCGAGTAATGAGCTAAAGTGTGCACTACCTAAATGAGTTATTCTAATTAATCATGTATGAACCACTGCTTTAACGAAAAGCTGTTTAAATTCTACGGCGCTGGGCAAGTGCCAAATTGCAAATCGGCATTTGCATTCATAGATGACTTCACCTATTAAGCCGTTCAAGTCCTCAGCAGCACTACAAACAGTGTGGATAGTGTTTTTTCCGTGCTTTCAAGAGCGGCAGCTTTGAACTTGCTTCAAAAATTGCTGATTGCTGCTCCAGAGAGCTTCAAACGAATGCAGTTGAACTGATGTGCTTCTTCTGCCGAATAACGTCAAAGAGCATTTCTGTCACTGTGCTGAGAGAATATAATGATTTTAAAAAGAGTGTCAATCTCTAGGATGTTTTTTGGGATGTTAGGTGAGAACATAATGACAGAATTGTATATTCAGAAATAATTTATTACATTTAGTCTCAGTAGCGTGTCCTAAAGACTTCAGAGTAATTTAGTTTTGCGTAATGCATTTTACACCTACTCCCTCTGTGTTCTCAGATCAAAAATGTATTTCTCCACAGGCATGTAATGAGTTCACCACCCACGTCATGAACCTGTTGAGGGAGCAGTCTCGCACACGACCCATCTCGCCCAAAGAGATCGAGCGCATGGTCAGCATCATCCATCGCAAATTCAGCTCCATCCAAATGCAGCTTAAACAGAGCACCTGTGAGGCCGTCATGATCTTGAGGTCCCGCTTCCTTGATGCCAGGTTAGTATCCATATGTGTGATTTGTCCACATTATAGGACAAGTAATTACAAATGATTCTCAGTTGTATCTGAAAGAATCCATCCTCTGCTATATGCAAGAAAGTGACGATTAGAGAATATGATTTCAAGTTAACCATCAAATATGATGGCCCCAAATGTATTTAGGGTGTGGTCACATTTATCGTTGTTTAGTGAAATTTTTGAGGTCAATCCAGTCATATTAAAAGGAAATCTGTGCAATTGGACATTTCATGTGCGGGCAAAAAAAGTTCCCCAATCAGATTTTGCCCATTGTCTTAAAGAGACTTCTGTGTCGGCGGTGCTTCATTTCACTAATGTGACTGCACCTTCAAGCAGACTTAACAAATGTATAAATGTAATTTCATTATATAACAAAATATCAAACCAAGTGATATTTATTTTAAAGAAAAATAACTATTTCTTCAAAAAAAAGGACAAAAAGTTGTTCAAAATGAGGATAGAAGATTCATAATTCCATTAAGAGAAACTTTGGATCAGTTATTTTACAGTAATGGCTTAGAAGGTGAAGTTAGCTCTGAAAAAAATCTCTAGCATCATTTGTCTGCAGATGCCATGTTTTATTTACATAATTCAGACATTCTTAAAAATGTCTGAATTTAAGTTGTACAGTACTTAAGTACAACTTAACATAAGTGTTAAGGTGCCATTGTTACTTGAAGTAGGAATAGTTTTTAGCTCAATTTTGAGTTAATTTGACCTATAATCTGTGCAAACAGGGTTCATGCACCTGTTATCAGTCGAGCACAATAACACATTCAACATTATTCAACCATTAGAGGTTAAGATGTGGTACTGCCAAGACAAGGGTTTTAGAGCCTAGAGGCCATCCACTAAACACAGTCATACTAAGCACCTGAAAGCAGTTAAGAGTTTTATAGAGTGGAAATGAAGTCATTTGCATTTGGTGGGTAGGAGGTCATCGGCAGGTGGTCTAGATTACTGTAATCACAAACAGTTGGTAGAGGAGATCTGGAGAGGCATAGAGGGGAGAGAAATGATGCAGTGAACAGGAGAAAAGAACGGATGAGGTCTCGAGGAGAACGCTCAAGTGAAGCGGAAGCACAATCATTTGGCCGGCCACTCGTGTGAAAGGCATTAAACAAGGCGAGAGAAAGAAGCCAGCGCTTAACTGTGGCGGGGTGGGTCGCAGTGAGTGGCGGTAAGTGCAACTCCATCAGGCCCTGCCCCTGTACTTGAGGAACAGTGTTCAGCTGGCCATGGCCTGATTTCCCTAATGTCCCAAGATACAGCTCTGACTGGGAATGCTTGAGCAACTCTAAACGCCCCCATCAGAGTGAAAGAAAGCACAAGAGAGGGAGAAAGAGAGAGGGAAAGCTCGCTGCTCTAAACACTGAACATTTCACGCTTCGCTTAGAGCTCAACCGATAACGTAACAACTCTCCATTTGTGTGTCTACATATGTATTCCGATAATAGCCTTCCTGACTTCATTTCCTGCCAGCAGTTCATTATGAGTTTGGCCATCACACATGGTTTTATTTGAGTTTCTCTAATTGCCTTCCTCCACTTGTTTTCCCCCCGCTTGTCCAACGGCAGACGGAAACGGCGGAACTTCAGCAAGCAGGCGACCGAGATCCTGAACGAGTATTTTTACTCGCATCTTAGTAACCCTTACCCCAGTGAAGAGGCCAAAGAGGAGCTGGCTAAGAAATGCAGCATAACAGTATCCCAGGTGAGACGACACCACCCTTCCATGTAGCACATGCCCCATTTTTGTTGGATAGTCTGGAAAGAATGAATAATGACAGATCAAAGCCTGAAGACTTAAAGTCACCATGCCCAGGGTTTAATTAGGTAAATGTCATCTCTGTAAAAAAAAAAGAAGCATTTTAAAACAGTTTAAGCTATTTTGCAGGTCTATCCTGGTCTTAGTTTGTTTAAGATTGTCCTTCAACCTGGCTAAGCTAGTCTTCGGCTGGTCTAGCACAGGGATCTTAAACCCTGCTCTTGGAGACCCATAGAGTTTAGTTCCAACCTGCTCCAACACATATGCCTCAAATTTTCAATTGATCCTGAAGACCTTGATTAGATGGTTCATTTGTTTGATTTAAGGGGTGGTCACACTACACTTTTCGTTTCATTGACTTCTGTTTATTCACATACTAATGCAGGAGACAGGAAATGCTTTCCAAAATTCAAGTTTGGTGAATTCTGCTCTGCGAATTCGTATGACGTGAAGACGTGTGACCAATAGAAGACTGATATGATAGAAGACTGAACTCTTAGCTCATTTAAAAGAACGCAAACTTTAAATCTGCAGGATTGAAGAGTTGCAGTAAAGTGGAGGAGACTGCATATTGTTTACATTTTGGATGTATAATATGTTAAATTGTGTTTTTTCTTTAAAAATGCTACAGAGTGTGACATCAAATGACCGCTGCAGTGTCTATAGAAATTTTGCTCAAAGTCTTGTGTATCTATGGCTTAATGTTGGAGCTAAACTCTGAAGGACAGTTAGTCTCCAGGAGCAGGGTTGAAAACCCCTGGTCTAGCTGGTCTCCCATCCTGGCTAAGGTGGTGCTCAGCTGCTTTACATGGTTGGCCAGTTGGTCTCCTAGCCTGACCAGCTGAAAAGTTCCCAAGTCCCCTCTAAAATCAGCCAACAGAACAGCTTGACAGGCTTTGAGACCATCAAAATATCTTAGGCTATTTTAAGCTGTTTTTTGTCAGCAGGGTAGTACCATAATCTAGGTTAACAGCAGCTAATTGGCAAGGCTAGGTCAGATGAGGCAAACAAAGGCCCTGTCTCAAATGGTGCTCTTAATGTGGACCTATGGTCTCTTGACCTTTACTCGTATGGTGTCCAGTTTGTCATTTTTAGGTTCCCAAACCTACCCATTCACCCACTTTGCAGCAGCTATGCATCCTTGAATGTTACCCAGCAGCCCATGCGGCAGAGTTTGGACTCGGAGGAGGATCGCGAGGGCTATGGGTGCCATTTGGGACAGGGCCAAGATTGATCACACCAGAAAGGCTCTTCAGCGCACTGTCTCTCATTGTCCTCTTCTTTTCTCTCGTCACTGTCTAAGCATGCATACCTGTTTGCTCTAACACATCAGTCTGATACTTCCACTGAGCTGAGTCTCATGCAGGGCCTGAAGACACAGCGTGTACCCTGTTGTGGATGGATGCCACAGTTTGTGGTGATCTGTGTCAGTCATTGTGTTTTAGAGTAAATGTGTGTGCATGTGAGTGTATGTGTTGTAGGAGAGAAAGAAGAAGGACAAAACTTTTAGTCGCACAGTGTGATTCATTATCGCAAAGCAATTAAGAGTATAGTGTTTTCCCACTCTAATAGCGAAATTCAGTATCCACCTGAAGGCAAGAGTACCCACCCACACCCATCTCCCCACAGACAAAACTCTTTTCCTTTTTTCAAATTGTCACAGAGGTGGTCAAGGAAAATGTGTACTGTTAACCTATTGGTCTTAGAGCATATTTGCATACTCTGTGATGTAATAAATGTTTATTTTTTCTCTGTGGGGAGGGGCTTATGGAGGGTTGTTCAGAGTCAGATCCTGTAAAAGCCATTCTTTTTTGCCTTCAGGGGGTGGGAACCACCATCACAGTGGCACAGGTATGTCATGACTTCTCCTGCTCCACTTTTTTTGTGCCATTTGTTTTACTTTATTGTTGATTTTTCCTTTATTCTGTCACCCCTTTATGTGTGTTCACTAATACCTTAGAACATGTTTAGATATACTCAGCACTCTGTTCCCCAAAAGTCTACCTTTTTCTGCACTTAGTGACAAACAATCTGCACACTGAACAAGTGTCGAATGGGACTGTAGTTGGAGTGCTCAGTAATCAAACTAAATATCAGACAGTATTTATGTAATATAAATATATACACCCCCTTCACTCTTCCCTAGAGAATTTCACTCGATTGTCAAACTTCTAAAAGTATGTCCCTTTTGATTGTGTTATGTCTTGTCATTGTATATTTTGACATATCTGTGATAGACATTTACCCCACATCGTATTTAATAAGTGTGTTCTGCATATGTTCAGGAACTTAACCTTTTGTATATATATTTGGAAATATATTTCATTAAATGAATAATATGCTGGAGGATTTTGCTTTTCAATTTTAGTGTTAAAGATTATATTTTTAATTTAAAGAAATTGGTAAAAATGTTGCGGCGTGTTTAAATTTCTGTCCTTTTCAATTTTAGTGTTAAAGATTATATTTTTAATTTAAAGAAATTGGTAAAAATGTTGCGGCGTGTTTAAATTTTTTTTTTTATATATATATTTACATTTCTAAGGTAGTAACATTTTTTTCACTCTTGTTGTAACAAATTCTAGAACATGTACATCCCAGAGACTGCCTGCTTTGCCTTTTTCCTTGTATCTGATAAACATATGCTGATTAGAAGTGATGTGTGGTGTTAATGGTATTGTTGATGAAATTTAGTCGCCTTTATCAGGCACCACTTCACTCAGTGCACAGAATCAATCTCATTATCTGGGCACGATCTGTGTGCATGTGTGATGTTCTGCCTTCTAAATGAGCATCATGGCATACTGGGTCACATGATGCTTTTTTTTTTAAAGAGTTTTCATAACTACTATGATTTTAGGCACTGAGTCTGAGGTGATAACATGCACCCTGCAAATGAGTGAGCACAAAGTGTGGTGCCCATCACCCAATTAAGTGCTGTTCTTCCGCTTCGATCTTCCTGTGGTTCAAACGAACGACACTTATCAATATTTCAGCTCATTATACATGTAGCAGAGCTCTGCATTAATAGTTAACACTTTAACCTGAGGCAGACCGCTTCATTATTGATAATATCAGCAGCCCTGGCCACTGCAACCGCCAATGACAGGAATTGTGTGTATGTGTGTGTGTGTCTGTGCATGTGTCTGTGCGTGTGTGCATTTGTGCGTGTGTGTGTGTGTGAGAGAGATGAAGCCAGAAGTCTGAGTCTCCATTTAAGCTCCACTCTCAGCAAGAGAAGCAGTATAAATCGGGAGGTATTGAGACCTTGGTAAGATCATCCATCCCATTTCAGTGACACTAGTGGTGTATTGACCCAAGCTTGGGGAGGGAGTAGTGGTGAATTATTTACTACACCCACACAGGCTTTTCTCTCCATTGGTTTAAAGCAAATAAACCAGGTATTGGGTTCCAGGCATAGAAGTCTACTGCATCTCTAGTCTAGGGTGTTCTCACATAAATATGACCAAATATGCAGTGAGGCAAAATATTCGTATTTAAACATTTTTGTCAAGTGAAATAAAAAAATGTAATGTATGAATACAAAGATTACATTTAAAAGAAATTCTTATTTTAAACCTCTCGGACATCCTTATTTGTTATTGACTCATCTAAAGGCAAAAAAATACAGCAATAGAGAGAACAACCATTTAAATTAGTTATGTGTTGTTTTGTTAAAATATGAAACGTTAGGGTTAGGAACAGCTAAAGGAAAAGTTTAGGGAGACTCTGTGTGCCTTTTTTCCATGGCCTTAAACTGCTTCATAAGCAGGTTAAGTAAAAAGGATGACGGCTAGTGCTTTCATTGCTTCCAATTAAACCTTGCTTGTTAGTTTAACCTCTAGGTAAACCCATCAAACAATTGATGTTAAGGCAAAAGCCTGCCAACGGTGGTGGCTTCAGCTGAATGGTCATTAATTTTAATTGCCTAGATATTAAAGATTTAGAAGCGCAGAGGCATGGTGGGGGTAGAAATGATCTGATGTCATGTAAATTCAGCGGCTGTAGCATAGTGTGGCTCGGGCTGCTGGAGATATTAAAATGGAAGCAGAGAGGTGGAAATTAAATAAAGCATCATTAAGGGGCTGAGGCTCTCTGGTCCTCCAGTCCAGCCAGAGCTGGAATACGGCAGGAGAGATCGCTACGGCGACAGGCCACCGTAATTTATAGGGCTATTAAGAAACAACCCTTAATCTCTTTATTATTCCACAATTATGCAGTGCTAGCATTTGCACATCTACCACCCCCCATGTGACCCAGATCATATTGTTTTCTGGCTGCTGTTTTTAGTAGAATTAGCATTATTGTAATTATTAATGTATTGGGTTGAGGCGGTGTGGCTGCTTTTAGGTGTACTATGTGAGTTGTGGTTATTATGTCTATTATTTGTCTTCAGGCAAGAGCACAAAAGTGGTTTTATGCAAAAGAAAAGAACATTAGTGTTATTAAGATGCATAAAAGCCTTGCCTTTGAAAATCAAGGCAACGAATGTTTCCAAGTTACCTTTAAAGAAAGCTAGTAAAAGTAAAAACAAAAGAAAGATTTATGTTAAAACAATTATTAAGAATGTTTTTATTTATTAAATGGGGTCAAGGAGAAGAACAAACTATTTTAGCAAGATCTCAGGGAAAGTTTGGCATTAGCTACCTGATCCCATAAGCACAACACTGATCCTAATTTTGCCACAAGACGAGCAGCCCCATGTGTGTTGGTTTTGTCTAGAGACAAACAGAGAGCATGTCACGCCTCCATCCGCAATAACGCACAAGCCCTGTCTGATAATCGCTTAATTAGTCTGCATGCCCAGCGGATATTACTGTGGGAGGCTGGGGACTGTGGACTTGATGGACCCAAACATGACATCTTGAAACAATCACTCTGCTCAGTGCACAGTGCCTCGTCTGCATTGACGTCTGACGCCCCCTCCTCTTTTTTCCCCTCTTTTTTTGCTTTCCATCTTTCCCTCAGGTATCCAACTGGTTCGGCAACAAGAGGATCCGCTACAAAAAAAACATTGGCAAGTTCCAGGAGGAGGCCAACCTGTACGCCGCTAAGACAGCTGTGACTGCCGCGCACGCAGCAGCTGCCGCCGTCCAGAATAGTCAGACCAACTCACCCACCACACCTAACTCTGGTAAGCTTGCACCGATCCCGGACGAGCCCCCAAAAACCAACCAGCTGTACCCTATCTCAGCTTGGTCCCTTCTGAACCTCTGCTCCCTCTGGCACGCTGGTTGGCTGCTGTGACAGTGAGAGGTCCCAGCCTGGGGGATAAGCCTCACTCTCCTGCCTCTGAGACTATACATGCTGAACGAGACGAGTAAAGTCAAGCAGAAACTGTGTGAGCGGGTTGCACATGCTGAATATGTTTGAAGTATTGAAGGGTGGGAGGGTAGTGGTGTTGGTGGGTATAGAAGAGATAATCCTCACCCACTTTACTCCCTTCTTATCCATAAATGTGACAGTGTTGCCCCTGTTGTAAATTTATAGAAACATCTTGCTCGGAGCATGTTACTCTCTTAAAGAAATGTACAGTATGGAATAATAATCAATATTTGATTAGCAGAATGATGCAGTATTTCTTAAACTGATGCTCTTCAGACATAATAAGCAGAATATTTGACTGTGATATGGACATAGCATAGACCCTGAGGAGTTGTGGGTAAGCAATTTTTAAGGGGTCCCCTTTTTCTTGCACCCAGGATTCCAGATGAAAGATGAAGAATTTCAGCTGGACTCTGCAGAGAACAAAAACACTCTATTAACCAACATGTTCACTGGTACTGGCCTTTTCCATAAGCTTCTTATTGTCCTTCTTGTCATTGGCATATAATCCCCCGTATGAACTAGTCCACTAGAGTAGGAGTAGGTGTGAACCCCCGTGGAAAACTTAGACTTCCAATTCCATATACCATCTCTGTTCCCCTCCGCCCTGTTTTGGCATTTTTGGTGACCCCCACGTGCCCTTGTAGAGATGTATTGTAACCTAGCCGCCATCACCATCCCTATCCTTTCATTTCTCCCTTGTTTCTTTTGCTTTCCTTTGTTGCTTGCTTTCTGAGCATCACTTCCTAGCGTGGTGTGTGGTGCGCGTATGTCCTTGTACACATTGTGTGTATGTGTGAGTCTGTGATAGCCTCTCTTTCTCTTTCTCATCCTCTCGTTATTCAGCTCCTTACATCTTTCCTTTCTAGGTTCGTCAGGTTCTTTTAACCTCCCAAACTCGGGGGACATGTTCATGAGCATGCAGAATCTGAATGGGGATTCTTACCAAGGGGCACAAGTCGGAGCCAATGTGCAGTCACAGGTAGGCGCTACGCACAGGAACTGGGGCTGTGAACCAGAGCAGACCTGTCAGCTAGCCTACCATCCACATTAAAAACTCAACCCCCTCCCCCTCAACATATAGACAGTGATACAGATTTGATCAACCCCCTTAACAATTAGTCTCATTATAGTCATGGAAGATTAATAAGTTGTCTGGACATGGATGGATCCTTCACATTTCCAGTCTAGACCCCCAACCAAATTACCATATTACAGCCCATAAGAGGTCCTTCTGGATAGAAACTCATTATTTACAGCAGTATGCTAGTATATTGATCCTGGAACAGACCCCATTTTGTAGTTGATGTTGTGAATGCATTTGGCTCTGACTTGAGCTCTTGGGTTGGTATTGGTTGTATGGTACTGTTCTTTCCTCCAAACCTCTATATCCTTTTCTGTCCCCTGTTCATTGTGATTATCCCCATTTTCCCATGTTCACATAAGCTCATTACATTCTCATGTTAAAATTAGCTAAAAAAAACACCATTTGAAGGAGAGAGAAACAGAGAAGTTAATGTGTATTGAAGATTTATCAGATTCTCGATATTTGCTCATGCTCTGTTAGTGTGTTGTCACATACCGTATTCTCCTCCAACTGTTGTCATGTGTGAATACTATTGTGTTTTGTAGCAAATTCCAAATCAAAATGAATGCCTTCCTTCTTTCTATGTTATTATGTTTCAGGCTTGGAAATAAAGTAATCATAGCCAGACAGCAATAGAGAGGGGAAACGCATATGTTGTCCTAAATGTTGCATTGAACCACATATGTATCCCATTTATCTGCATATTCCATTTAGTATGATTCCTTTAGTAAACAACAAAGCCATCAAATTTTTTTTAAACACCATTGCCGTTGTCTGTTTTAACCATACATCACTGTGTTGATGTTTGCATGCATTCCTGAAACACAGAATGTTGACAAGCTTGACTTCCTGTTGTGTGCTCTGCAGGTGGATACCCTGCGCCATGTTATCAGTCAGACGGCAGGATACAATGATGCCCTGGGGGGGAATCCGATGTATAGTCCACATGGCTTGAATGTAAGTACAGTCTCAGTCAGTATAAAAATGTATAAGTTGTAAAATGCTAAATGTATTTGTTTTTGTAACAATGTAAATGCTGTTCTTTCTATTTAAAAAACTCTTAACTGTCACTTTTGATCAATTTAATGCATCCTTGCTGAATAAAATCTTCAAAAAATAACAAGAATTTGCTATAGTTTACTTTTGTTAAGAATTTGCTATAGTTTGTTTTTTAAACATAATCATGTGCTATGGATTAGAAGACATAAAACAACAGGTTTTTAGCTTGGCATTTACTAAGAAAGGCTGTTGTTAAACTTGTAAATGCACTACATATAGTTATTATAACATAAATCAGAAGGATCAGACAGTAAGAAACCACCATAAATCCAAACTCCACAACAGAGTGATGATTCAGAGGATGACAGGAGTATCTATCCCATAATATGCATAAAGCGGAAAATATGGCCATTTTTAAAGCAGGAATAAATGCTTTGCTCAGTAAAAGCTCAAGCGGCTGAAGTATTTGGGAGTGGTGTGAGGAAAATGAGATTCAGAAATATATTAAGTCAGTTTGTTGCCTGTGTAAACAGTTCCTATTACAGTAACCTATAACGTGGTAAGATGAAAAGGCCTTTACTAGCGCGTCTTGCCTCTGTTTGCCTGTTTTGCAATGCTTCAAAGAATTTGCAATATCCTTATCAACGTGATGAAATATGAAAGTATGATTGCCTGCAGCCTTCTGCAGGCATGAATTTTATCTTCCTTGATGAGGTTTGATATGATGTTTTTTTCCCCCACCATGCACTGGGTAATCTGAAACCATCAGAGTAAAGACTCATTTATTTGATGAGAGAGAGAGAAGAGTAAAATACAGACATTTATCTTCCTTGAGCTAAACACAGGTTTAGATGTTATATCTGTTCATAAATATATAAACTTAGATGTGTTAGCCTTAATCTAAAAAAAAAAACCTGCTGACTGACAAGCCTCTGTGGCTGCTGAGCTGATAAAATAGGAACTTGTAAACTTTTTTCTGGCTTTGTAATATTATCAAATGAGCCAGTAAAACATGTCTTAAAGATGATTATTTATTCATAATACAAAAACAGCTTATTTATCGGTCCAAATGGTCCTTGTACATTATCAAAAAAGATAAATGAGCTTTCCAAAAGCAAAACTAATCACTTTCTATTGGGAAACAGATGCAATCAGATGGAGGAATAATTTGCAGTGAGGTAATTAATAGAGCATAGCTGTCATATGTGTATTTTCTGATGACTGTTAGAGCTCCATTTGCATGAATTAACTCTAGCAAAGCACACGACGATAAATGTCATAAGTCAAAACGTATGCTTGATTTTTCACAGCAGTGAGGCCCAAACGTGGCAGTGTATCTGTGGCTAATGCTGAGATGGCTGTGTGTCTGTGTGTGTGTGTGTGTGTTCGGAGGCCTCTTTGGCCTGTAGCTGTGCAGATGAAGTGTCAGCCTCTCGCAGACTCAAACGCCACACTTTCACACTCTCTCACTCTGGTCCACTGCTCAAGTCACTCTATCATTACAACAAGTGTGTGTGTGTGTGTGTCTGTGTGTGTCAGGCTGAATGCGAGTGATCCATGTCATCAGGGTACAGCAGACTTCCTTATAACGGTCGCATTTCAGCATCGGTCCAGACATTGTGGCTGGAGGAGACCAGCACAATCTATTTATTGACCTGTTCCAGGAACTCTAAATCAGCAAAATCCTAATTCCACCACTGAACAGTTCCCCGTACACACACACAGACACATGCACAGGCACACACATCTCCCCATGATTTTTATAGAAACACAGACAGATTGTTTTGATAACCAAACACCTCATTAGCAAAACACGCAGTAGTTCTCAACAGTTTTTCTTCAGGATCCAGATTTCACATGAAGTGACAACTCCATCAAACGAACATTGTAATAAACAACACATTAATTATAACAAAAATGATTATTTTTTACTTAAAGACAATGATTCACCATATTCGTGTTATTATTATTATTATTATTATTATAAGTTATTATAATTGATTTATATTAAGCCAATGATTTACCACATTTATTATTGTTTAATAATTTTTCATATTATATTAAGGCACTAATTTGCCATGTTTATTTTTATAATTTATTATGTTTATTAAGCCAATGATTCACTGTGTTTATTGTTAATATTCTTTATTTGATTATATTAAGCAAATTACTCATGGAAATATCTCATTACTAATGTTTTTTTTTTTTTTTTACAATATATTAGGTTTTACTTAGCCAGTTTTTACCATGTTTATCCTTATTGCAAATTTGCAAGTGAAGCTGTATTTCTAGTCTCACATTTTCTTTTTCCTTTCATAGTTTTGTTTGTGATTTTTGAGAATGAGGGCATTTCCTCAGGTTGGCATCTGCTTAATTTTACACGCCTTTACAAAATAATTACAAATTAAATACTGTAGCATTTGTTCTGATGCATTGCCTTTGATACCAAACATTTTAAAATATTCACCAAAACCCATGATAAAAGCACAATAATTTGGTATTTTTTTCTGCGCCCCACGACCCTTTCGTAACATATCTGCTACAGATTTCCAGGTCATGACCTACCAGTTGGGAACTATGGCTTACCTTAACTATCTGTTGTGGTGATATGGAGAAAGAGAGGTAGAATTAGGTGGGGGGGATTTAAGCGTTATTTTGGAGGGGAAATATCCAGCAAAGGCTAGTCTCCGATGAGCGATCGAATCAGAAGCACTCAGGCGAGCAGGGTGGAGGAAAGGCCTGCACCGTCACTTCCACTCAACATCCTTCGAGCTTCCCCCCTCCCTGCCCCGGCCTCCCTCCCCTTGACTGACATCAAAATATGGAGCGACAAGCTGTCGGCCCACCGCTGAAATCTGATTAGACATTGATTTCAGCAATCGTTCCCATTGGCCACAACATTTATGCGAATTTGTTTTCTGAGAGCGAGGGAAGCAGGGACCGAGAGAGAGGGAGAAGCCAATGTGGGTTTAACGTGGCAAGATGGCCGTCGGCATGTCAGACAGTAGATCAGAGGAGACACTCTCTCTTATTAATTTCTTAATACATTAGTATGCATATGTATGCATGCTTCGCACGTACAAACCAGGATTAGGACACACACTTCACTGCAAGCAGACAAACAAACACACCCGCACTTCTCGCCACACATGCTTCTGTGAATTTATGAATACTGGAAATGTGTATTCTTTTACATAGCAAATTGCACAAGATTTATGGGAGGTATCATAGTACATATAAATACATATATATATTTTTACTGTATTTATATTAGATTATTTACAAAATGGCTTATATATTTAAAAATTGTATTTACACACACATTTATATATATATATACAGTATACAGTAAATGTTCTTTTACTGTAAAATTAGTTGTGTGGCGAAACCAGTATTGGGGAAAGTTACTTTTAAAAGTAATGCATTACAATGTTGCGTAACGCAAATAAAAAGTAAAGGACCTTTCACACCAAAAGTGAAATGACACAGTAGAAGAATGTTTAACACTCTTACTTGAGCAACAACAACAACAAAAAAATAATACAAAAAATGAACACAAACGTGCTGTTTATCTAAAGTAATTTTTGCTTATTAGTATGGTTAAATTGGATCTTCAAAGGTCAGCAGCAGAGACACTGAGGCAGTGAGATTAATTACATAAAGTATATTTGTGTTATCTAAAATATTTCATTACTGCAGTTGGCATTTCAATGTTTTTATTCATTTTTCGTTACCCCCAACAATATTAATAGCAACTCTTTTTTCCTGTGTTTTGTTTTTAGGGTAATGGGGGATGGCAGGATGCTACGACTCCATCCTCTGTGATCTCCCCTACAGAAGGCCCTGGTAGTGTGCACTCTGATACCTCGAACTGATCTCCTCATTGACACGGCCCCTTCTCAAGCTGTGGATAACCAATCACAGAACTACAAAACCACAGACTGACCAATCAGAGACACAGAATAAACTCTCACAGCTAATCCAGAGACATCCTAATGGAATCATCCACAGTGCTTTTCCACAGTGTTTTGGAAGCTGGACATTTCTTAGCCGTAACATCAGTCCACTGCAGTTTTTACTAACAATCTCTCCAATCCTATTAAACCAATATGTTTATTTTATCATTTAAAGTGTACAAGCTCAAACTGTTTTTTTTAGTTTTTTTTTTAATTACTGGTCATAACCCCTCTCCATTGTTCTAACCGACTGTCGGCAAAGCTTTAGTGCAGGAATACAACTGATACTTACAAAGGTATATTCATATGATGCTAACCGATGCATTTAACAGGGCTAAATGCTATAGAAGGCAGCTTCGGGAATTCATTGCTGATTTTTTATTTTTTATTTTGTATTAATGTCACACCTAGCAATGACCTTAACAAGTCCACCTACGAAAGGCAATCCACTCCATTTTGGGGGGTGATTTTTAAATGCCTGGCAATTTATGTCTTTTTTTAAAAACGCAAAACGTTATCAATATTCAGTTCACTACAATTATTGAAGAAAGTGTAGAAGACTTAAAAAGGAAATATGGGTCATCTTGTTGGATGCTTTTCTGGCAATTTTTCATTCAAAAACAATCTTGTATATGACATAGCTTGAGAGTATTTATACATCTCACCAATAAATACTCAGCTTTATTACCTCATTGAAACTCATAGAAAACCAATAGATTTAAAACATTTCTTTAGCTTCTAGTGCTCTCACTGACTACCTCTCAACAAAATCACCACCACCGCTTTTTGTCTATTACTTTCTGTCATTCTTTTTTTTTTTTTTGGTCTTTTTAAAAATACTTTTTTACTTTTGTTAGTTTGGATTGGTTCCATCGTGTAAGAAATTTGCTCTCTCTGTCTCTCGCTCTTTATGTAATCTAATGTATATTTTAACCTTCTAAGAAAACTAAGTTGCTTTGTTGCAACTTTTAAAAGAAAAAAAGCAAAAAAATAACCATAATATTAATAATACAAATAACACGGAGAGTATGGAGAGTACAGTGGCTGTTGGAGGGGAATTTTGTGCTGGATCTTGGGGGACGGAACAGGGAGGGGGAAATACGATCATAAAATTAACACCAAACAGTAAAACTGTTGTAAATACTGAAGAACATTTTGAATGTTGCTCATCTTGTTACTAATTCATGCAAAAAAGAAATAAAAAATTAATAAATAAAAACCCATGATTAAAAAAAAGAAAACCTGTAATGCATAGAGGTTTCAGTATTCAGAATTGTACATTTCAAACCCTGTCTGACAGGGTTCCAACTTTCTTTCTCTCTTTTTTTTTTTTGTATCGTATGTGATTCTGAAACTGATAAAAAAAAAAAGTCATACAAAATTTATTTGTGACAGTGGTTCTAATGTATTAAAGATGTTTCGTGTTTCTTTCTAACCAGACTACACCCTGGACTGAAAAGTCTTCCTTGTGGTAGTTATGTGTAATTTCAAACATGAATAAACGGTTTTCCTTTCATGACAGTTTTGATATTGCCTTGTTTGTTTTAATTGCACTTAAAGTGATGATGCTAATAATAATAACATAATGTAAACAGATTGAAATAAATTGATTCAAGTTATTACATTGGTTTACATACTTTAGTATTACATACATTAGCACAAATGTTATTTTTTATATGAAAACAACTGTACTTCTGTTATATGTGTATCCATGCACATATCAAAAAACAAGGTCTTGTTCATTTGCTTGAATACCTCTTCATGCCAATTTCAACAAAGTGAAAGATTTATTCTCCTCCAACGCGCATGTATCAAATCAAGCACACACGCCGAACCAAACACAACACCCCATTTTGCTAACGCGTAAGTGCTTGTGTCACATTACTTAGACAATCATACGCCAATATCTTAAATGCATTAGTACACGTCTATGCAAACCACACATGCGCATGACAGAGCTTCTAAGAAGAATTGACAGTCCCCTCATAGAAAGCATGGTTCCCCCTGCAGGCTTGTTCTCTGTCAAAGAGAAAGAGAGGGATTTTAGCATAGCGAGGGCTGCTGGGGCCAAATGAATTATTTGGTTTGATAGGGATCCATGGAACAGCTTGTGAGAAGCTATTCCATGTGGCATGGCGACATGTGACAAGATTGCATTAATAGTACTAATTGTTGCCTGAGCCCTTTGACAAATGCAACTAAATTAATAGCTTCCTTTAATTGGCCTGTTTGTGAATTCGCACTCCAGCCAAAATCCTTTTTATTTTATTTTAACAAATAAACAGGATGTGATCTCTAGAGTGAGTCAAGCTTGAGCTTCCTATGGGAGTCTGGCATTGTAGAGAATGGATAAAGGCTAAAAGGAAAAAAGCTGAAAAATGGAACACATGCAGCTCTCTTTTTTTAAATAATAAATAATAGTGACAGTTTGGGATGATGTGGTGATGAGGCCTAGTGGTTGGTACACATTCCATAGGGTATGTGGCCGTATTCAAAGCGAACGCTTTCCACTCTTCCATTTGTCTCGTTGTCGACAGACTCAAGTGCGTGGAAACTGAACGCGCATCTATATACTGTATTCAGTGTAGACAGCGTCAGTGATTATAATGGGTTCTATTTTCTTTTGGTGCGACGTGACGCTCATATCCAATGTAGGCGAATGTCAGCCATTTAGCGACTGAATGCCAGTGGGCAGAGCATATGGTGCAATGATGCATAACTTTTCGTCGATGTCTTGCACTGGAGGCAGTCATATGCAAATATATTTTCTTGTGTGACGTCACAGATCCCGTATCACAGATCAAACATCCACTTTATTTTTAGAATAAGAGCAAGTGCAGCCATTTTATACTTTTACACCATTTCCTAACCAGATGCGGGGCCTCATTTATAAACTGTTGCGTTGAAACCATCCTACATTTGATCTTATGATCATTCCTCCAATGTGCGTAGGCTATGTGTGATTCAGAGAACAAACATATGCAAAAAAAAAAAAGTGTGTACGCCTCTTAATTCTTTCCCTGCCAGCATTTTTGAAAAAAGTTGCCAGTCACCGGCAGCATTTTTCATCATTTTCACAAAAGTTTTGTGGCCCCCAGAATATTTTGTTGTATGACTATCTAAATGTGTAATATAACAAAAGAAATAATATACCTGAACAGAACAGGAAAAACCCCTGTTTTATTCTAGCTTCATGCCTTCTCTTTTATCAACACTTGAATTAAAAAATCAACATTTTTAGCAAAAAGCTGATAAAATCGTGTTTTTGTCAAAGACAATCGGCCCTATTTTAACGATCTGTAACGCAAGTATCAAGCGCGAAGCGCAAGTAACTTTGTGGGCGGGTCTTGGGCTCTGTTGCTATTTTACCGGCGGGATAAATGACTCTTGCGCCCGATGCAAGTTTAAAAGGGGTTGGTCTGAAATAGCTTCATTATTCATAGGTGTGGTTTGGGCGTAACGTGAAATAAACCAATCAGAGCGTCATCCAACATACCCTTTAAGAGCAGGTGCGCATGTTGCATGGCGGATTGTTATTATTATGGCGGATTTACCAGGTGCGCGCCAGGAGCGGTTCACAGCCGAGGAGACCGACGTTCTTGTCAGGGCAGTGAAAGACAGAGAAGTGATGTTGTATGGGAGATTTTTTTTTTTCATGGTTCAATTTGTCATATGTCCTTATATACATATGTGTCTTGCCACTATTGGGCAAACAGGTCTGATCCGTCATTACTACAATTAGCCTGAAAAATTTGGGAAAATGTTTAAGCTAGATTTAGGCCTACATTATTTTACATCTTCATGGACACCACAATGATTTCCCTCATGTGTTAATATTTTTCCTTGTTATGTATTATTTGCAAAAATAAAAACTGCTGCATCTGTGTTGATGAGAGAATCAAAGTGTATGCGTGTTGCGCACCCGCTACATCATGGCCAAGCATGCGCGCTTAAAATAGCATTATGAACAACGCGCAACGCGCCACTGACTTTAGACTAGGTTTTTTCTGGTCAGTGGCGGAATTGTTTTCTGGAACTGCAAAATAGCACTAGGGAATGTTTGCGCCGAAACACGCCTCCTTTTTGCGCCGACCCGCCCAGGGAGCGCAAGTTAATTTCCTAGTTTACCGACGTGTGTCTGTCGAGGGAAAAGCCCGCTTTGCGCGAGTGCAAAATAGGAATGATACATGCGTCAGTGTACAAAGTCATTTGCGCCGGGTGCAAGATAGGGCCCTATGTCTGGATGGGATTCAGAACAATATTCAAAACATAGATGGAGTAGATCGAGTCCATCAACACCCCTAAAGCTTTACAGTCCTATAGCTAGTCCTGGGTCGACATTCATTCGGTAACATTAGGCAGTTTTAATTTATATGCTGTTTAATGTTGATGATCACGTTATTTAACATGTATCTGCTTACGTATGATATCATTTGTTTCTGCTTCTTCTTTGCCTGTGCTTTGATCAGGAAATTCACTCTTTCAGAAGATGCAATAGCGCCCTCTACCGTATAACAGTGAAAACATAGAAAGGTGGAAATTTCCGTCAATGGCGGGGAAGCGTTGTCTCACAAATTACGCAAATTTTCGTCAATGGCGGGGAAAGAGTTAAATCTATAAATCGCAAATGATCTTGAAATTGTGCGCAGCTAATTGGCCTTGTAAATGCCACCTAAGCTTACCGCACGCATAAATAGCGAATGTGTTTTGGACATTCGGCCCAAGAGTGTGGATTGGTTTAGTAGTAAATGGACCAAAATAGCAGTAATAACGGATCTTCTCACCCTAAATCAATGGTAAAATATGCACACCAGATAATACAGCAACAGTGCAGTGCAAATACTGACTTTCCCAAGACAACTTCATATTAGCTGACAAAAGATAGATCCGTTAGCCTACCAAGCTCAGTGTAAGGTCATGCACTGCAGTTAATGTGCCACTTTAAACCTAAAGTAGTGCTTACTTAGACCAGGAGTTTTACAGCACTTTCTGTTCTGACTAATGACCTGATTGGCTTTGCAAGCAGAAAAATATATAATGGTTCAAAGGGAAGAATGTCTATTGCTGGAAGACACAGGACTAATAATTTTGCCATGAGAAATTACACACTCTTTTCTGTTCTGTTTTCTGTTCTACTGTACTTGTTTCAATAGCTTGTCAAACCATCTGCAAATATCAGCCTAGTTTCAAGTCATCGTCATCTTTCTGGGAGAGAGGCACAGCGATAAACAGTTTGACCTTCAAATCTTGTTGCAGGTAAACCTATTTAGCATTGCCTCAGTCAACTGCTCCCGGTGGTCAGTACCTCTAGTAATTAGAGGGGCAGTGCAAATCATATACAGACCTTGAATAATGAAAGCCAATTTAAACAATTCCCCCTCTGATCCTACTAGAATGATTTACCTGCCAATGTGGGCCTTCAATAGCCTCATTTGTTGCATTTGTGTTTTTGTATATTAATGTAATGTGGGCGCTGAGAGGGGTTTGACTGCTAAGAGACTGTCTGTGTGCGCTCAGTTAAAGGGAAAAATGTGTTTTTATCCTGACTGAAAGCTGATTATTATGGAAGCCTGTTTCTGCCTCAAGAGTAAAAAAAGGGTAATTGCGACATTATTTCTTGTAATTGCGAGATATCTACCATTTGTGATTTTTATATTTGGCAATTTCATTTCTCGTCATTTTGAATTTATAATTTACAATGTGACTATATCAGAGGATGTGAATTTAAGAGTGTTCACACTCGGTTCTCTCAAAAGAAAATTATATATTTAGTCGTGGTTCACTTAGCGTTCACGCTGTCATTTTTAACACCAAACCTAAAGATAAAAAAAAAGGCTTTTATGACATGTATTTTGCTGCAAAACTTGTCGAACTGTGTGCTGGGCTAAATGCTCACACTGTATGTGTGTACATGGTATGATGGAGCTAAGAACTTGTGAAGAGCTTATAAAATGTGTAAAAGTGTCAAAAGAGCAGCAGGAATCCCTCTGTCACACACAAACGAAGATCTGCTGCGAGGAGACGCAATTCTGATGCCTGTATCGAAATGTGATGCGTAACATCGCAAATGGGTGCTTCTCAATAATCAAATTGATGCTTCCTCACAGTAAAAATTACATGATCAATAAGTTATGACTACATGTGTTTTTACATTGCTTTTACTCATCAAAATAAGTTAAGCAATTTACATTTTTTTTCCAATAAGTTATACAAGATTCAACTCATTTTTTAAAAGTCAGATTAATGCAATTTAAGTTGAAATGACTTAAGCATCCAAATTGATTGTACTTAAAAATTTAAGTCAGCAACTTTTTTTTTACAGTGTTCATTTCCTCGATTCCCCAGCCTTCAGCCCGTGACCTGGAAATAGATCGAACTCAGCCATCTTGAAGGGCATCTCAATTCTCTAATTGCACCGCGAGGAGGTGAGGAATGGGGAGTGAGGACGCTTCCTGAGGAGTCATGAGGGAGGATACAACTGTATTAATACACAATCTGTAATACAAGGGGGTGGAGCTAAG